TTCTAAATAATCACTCTGCCTACCTGACAGCTATTGTCCACACAGCGCTAAACTTGTGTTAAAATGACAGCCCTGTAAATGGTTTTAATTATAGTCGACACAGATAACAGCCTGTGGAAACATCAACCTTTTCTTCAGCTCTGCTCAAGATTCAAACATAACAGAATTCCCTGGAAAACGCAGTGTGTATGTGCTGGCCTGCGTGTGGATACAATATTCATTTTGCTGCAGGAGGACAATCTATGCATAACAATGAGAGGCGCTAATGAAATCAGCCATCAACCTGCGATACATACATATTAAAGCAGGACCTCGGAGTGTCATACGCTTAGTGCATCATTTGTTCCCAGTCGTTTTTTTCCCTCCTCGCTGCCACATGACCTTTCGAGCATGTGCCCCCCTCCTCACTCTCGTCTAAAAATAGGAAGTGTACCTGCTGCATTGTGGCGTGGTGCATACATGCGTGAGCCCTGACAGCACACTTCATCACGATTGATCCGCCGGAATACAATGGACACACAAATGCCCAGCATTCTTCTCCTTCTGTCATTTAAACATGTGTCAATAAAATGGTTGCGATCCAAACATTTGCTATATGCTGTCGCTCAAGCCCCACGGAGATATTATCCAGGGCTATTGTAGCAACTGTTGTTTGTGCTGAATGCTGAATAGGTTCATTGTCATTTTCCAAAACATTTTAAATTACTTCTCTCAAACTGCCATCGAATATAGTAATGTGTTGACCAGAATAAAACATTCATTTGTCTTATAATGTGTAGATGATGTGTGAAAATAAAATCTATCAGTGGGAAGATTGAACTATTTGCTGGAGGAGAAAAACAGATACAGTTATAGCTGGAGTACCTAACTTTGAAACCACAAAAAACAACGATGTACTAAAATTCAATGTTGCAAATTCCTAGCCCCCACAACGGTTTGGAAATCACAAATTTTCCCATATTTATTGTGTTTTTGTCTTACAGTATTTGAATTGAATTTGAATGTATATATATATATATATACATACAGGGACAACACACAATAAACATTTGTCTTATAAAAAGAAAATATGTCATGTGCCAGGTTTGTAGAAAATGCAGCATTTAAGAGATGGAATGTAATTGTAATGAGAACGACAGCATGTTGTGGTCTGATTTGTTACCTAAACCAGACTCTTTCTGTTGGGACAAAAAAGGTACTCTGGGCATAGCAGTCTTGTTTTAAAAACATTTTCGAAACCAAAACTCTAGTGTTTAGAATAGATAATGTCACACAAACAAAACAGAGGATAGATACCACAGCGTGACGTAGAACAAGCATTAAACAAGGGCTCTCACAATTGTCAATTCTATCAATGTTCAAAACTGTGTAAACAATTGAGGTATCCAGCATAAGATTTCATGACATTTTCAGTAAGCTAGTGACAAATTACACTGAAGCTTTAGCTGGGCAACTCATCAAGAGTAATCAAGAGTGACATTTACATTTTCTGTTCAACATAAGCTAGCAATGCGATCAGTGTAATTGTTGTAGATCATTTGAACAACATGTTGGAAAGTATTTCTGGACATCTACTTTATACAGATAAAGTAAAGCCAATACAGCATGCCAGACACGTGTTACCTAATTACTAATGAATTTATGTAATAGTGTGATTCACATTTGACACAGAGACAACGGAAGTATGATATGCTTCTCAAAGCTGGAGTACCTCTTTTTCTTGGGATGTAAGTATGTATGCTGAAATGATTCAATGAAAATCATTGATTCAATGTTTGGCAGAGTGAGCGCTGCTACTTTCTTTTACACTGAAAAAAGCTGACAATACATACATGGATTTTATTGCATATTTATTTTTGGCAGTTTCAAAGTAAGGTACTCCAGCTGTAAGTATGTAAGTATACTTACAGTGGTTTCACTGTTTGAGAGAAAACTTTGCACAGTATTCCATTGACACTTGAGGATCATAAATGGTAACCACTGTCATAGCCTTGTAATGCCAGCTGCTAGTGAGTGACGCTCCTCCCCCTTCTCTCCCCTGTGCTCCCTCTCTCCTCTTCTCCTCTCCACAGCCACGGTCTCTGTTTTTTCTCTCCCCTTTCTCGTCGCCCCCCACGCGCTGCCAGGGAAATGGATCCCTCCACCTGACAGTGGCCATTTTGAGCCTTCTTCTTGCTCCTCTCTGGCTTCCTGGTAAACAATGGGAGTGGGATAATTGATCAAACAGCCAGGGAAGCCTCGGAGCAGGGGAAGGTCACCGCCCGCCAACCCGTCTTCACTAAAGAGAGAGCGGGGGGGCGGGAAGATATATGTGTGTCAATATGTGGATTTGTCTCTGGGTGTGTGTACATGCATGTAATAAGACACGGCGCTGTTTGTTAGCCTGAGATGGGATCAACTGCAGCTTTGGAGGAAGAGGTCAAAAGAGAAAGTTTCCTCTTTAAATGCATATTAGTAGTTACAAACTCTGAAAGGATCTTACCTAATTTCCAAGAAAGTTTTTTGTATATAATGAAACAGTTATAAGTCAGTTAAAACACAGTTGCCTTGGAGTCAGACAAAAAAGTCAATTGCCTTGGAGAACCATTTGAATGAAGATCAGTCCTGACGCTAAACAATGATGACATAACTGTTTACAGTAAATTGCCTTAAAGCAACACGAGGAAGGCCATAAATTCAAGGCATCTACTACATATCACCAGTGAAAATTATATTTAAACTCACACTCTCACACGCTATAATTCGACAAAGCCTTGTCAAGGTCTCCATCTATGGAACTGTAATTACTATAGGATTTTTGCATTCAGCAGCAATGATCGGACCAATAGGGTAAGGGGTCTAGGGAATGCACCATGTCAATGAGTGTCCTTTTCCAGACAAAAGAGTATGTCTTTGTATATAGCCAATGTGTCATGTGAATTAAAAAAGGTAGAGTGAGACAGAAAGTGGTGTGTGCGTGTGTACGAGAGGCGGGAGGAAAAGAGGAGGGGGTCTCTGATGCTCTTGAGCTGCCATTTTTCTTCCCTGACAAAGACTCCATCTGCCACAGAGCCATTTGCTGCCTCCCGAGTCGGCAGAGCATTCGGCACGCCGCGTTCACCTTGATGTCACCTCTACACAGCTCACGGCCTGCTGACGCTGTACACTCACACACTCACACTAACGCGCACAGATAGACACACAGAGTGGCCCTGAAAAGGCAGCACTGTGTTTCCCAGACAAACCTGCACGAGCTCGTCCTGTCAACTTCTCAGACAATGTTCAGGACTTTCCCTATTCAAACTCAAAGACAGTGAGAGTATCCAGGATGGGAAGATCTAGCGCGTATACAAAAGTGAGGGGAGTCAAAAGTTGATGGATAGCAAGTCTGTTGTCCAGGGGATGTTTGACAAAAGTGAAAGCGCGTTCACCTATTTCTAGCCTTCTTGTCGATGTGAATTTTTACTACGTTACTAATTATCTGATGTAACTCAGGTACAAGCATTGGATTTTAGCATTGGAATTTAATATGTGAGTAGGCCACGGGACACCATATGATACAAGTAGTGTAGCAACATAAAATAATAAGATAGTAATGAATATCAAGATTCAATTGTCGCCTCAAGCAGGTCACCCATAACATGTATGCCAATGGAAACATGTTGCATTGTTTACTTTCAGCTAATACCTCATTAGCATAATACTGTTGATTAAGCCATTTCTATAGTAAATAACTAACTGCATATTTGCAGAGCACCTATCCAAAAACTTTACCAGAAATGTGTAACTGGGGACTAGGCAGTCACCACCCGCCCGTGATAGTTTATGAGTGACATCACAGTTTATGGGTCCACTATCCTTGCACTATGTTTGGTATCTAGGCAGTGGCCCCACCTCCTTCTCCTGCTTCGAGCCTGATATCACCACACAACCATCAACGCTCCGCTTTGTGGGAGTGTCTGTTGGGCCAGAACGACGCGACAGGGGCTGGGGGATTCACACGCCTCTGAAAGACAGCCAGAGGGAGTGAGGGAGCGAGAGGGAGTGAGGGAGAGAAAGGAAAAGATATGGAGGGGGTCGGTAACTGGAAATGAGAGATGGCATTTTAAAGAGGAAGCTGAATTTCACCTGCAATTACCGTAGCTCCGGGGCACATGGCTCGGTTAAGAGACATTTCATTCCAAAGCCACTGCGTCTCCCTGCCGCACTGAGCCCTGAGAGGCGCATAAAGAAGAGGAGAGCGAGCAAAAAGAGTGGTAGAAAGTCTCCTCTGCCCAAAATGGCCCTCAGCAGATGCAGTGATGAAAGAGAGGAGGCAGCCAGGGATGTTGCTGGTAAATGAAACCCGGCAGAGAGAGCTATGGAGCCGAGGAGGAGGACAGATAAAAGACACACGGGAGGGGAAAGGGTATCTCATTCAGCAGGCCCCATCTTAGCCATCTGCACACCAGACCAGGCAGCTGAAGCAGGCCTCTGAGAGCCACATGCACGACCGACAAAGGCCAAATCTGATCAACACGGCCACTTGCACACGCTGTTTAATCATTAATACAAATTCTTTGTATTCCTCTTTCGATGAACTCCATTTACAGCAGTAATGGTTTCCCTGAGGCTTCTTGTCCTGGTTACTTTCAGCAGGCAGACTGCTGTGTTTCATAGAGAAGTGTGACTGCACAAATACAGTAATGAGCTCTCATTGGGAGCAGGGGGCCTCCTGGCACCACTAATGGCTCTTCTGGACTGCAGCTGTATCCAGGTTACTGCCAGCCTGGCCCACAGGCCTCAGGACCGTGGGACAGAGGGGACCAGGAGGGACTGAGTGACTGACCCGAGATAAGTGGTCAGACTGGGAGCTCAATCATTTGCAGTTGTGTATGAGGAAGAAAGAACATTGCATATTTTACTTATGTTGTGTGGAAAGACCCAAAAAGGGATGGAAGTTGTAAATTAGCTCTTTCCCTACCGTAGAGTTGTGGCTGCATATCCCTGCCAATGTAAGTCCACATTAGTCTTGTCACACACTAGCTCGCACAGCCAACTTTCTTGGTATTGCTTGACCTGCTGACCTGTAGGAGTAACACCACAAAGACATATGTTTCAACTTTCTGATTCAAAAGTCTATAATGTCTGAATAACTATGATGTTTAAAAACATATTCAATGGGGAAACTAGATATGTCGATAACCGTAATTCGAAACTCCAGTCACAATGTAAACTTGAAGCATCTACATAACAAGTGTGGTTTGGAATAACCTGCATACATCCATACCTTGATACATAGATGCACATGAGATATGGGGATGGACGAGTGGGTGCAGATTTGTTGTACACTTGCAGACATTTCTCAGAGGCAGACAGTGAGCAGCAGATAATTTTTACACGTCTCTAGTGACAGTGGAAGGGGAAATTACACCTTATAGCCGGAGGCAAAAGAATTTGTGCGTCTTGCTGCTTGTCACAAAACTTGAATAGGGTTTCATCAATCCCAGCAACTACTATCATTTTTCAGCTGATATTCATGAGGAAGCTTTGTTTCACACAGTGTCTCTTTCCCAGTGCCCTTTAAACTGGTTCTCTGTTCGACTGGGGAAGTGTTGAAGATAACGCTGAAACATTTAGTACTTTGTACCTGCCTCCGAGCTATCATTGTTAAAAGGCACAGATTGGCCTGAGGATAGATTTAGCAAAGACATGCTCACATGTCTTTGCTAAGCTGTCTGTACAGTCTAATAGTAACCATTTGCCGATGATGGTAATGTAGAATTATGTTTTTATATATAATTAAAGGGTGTTTTTTTTTCATAGACACTACTTTAGACACAATATTAGGGCTGTAACAAGTCCATTGATAGCAACTTATCAAAAATTGAAACATTTCAATTAATCTTTTTTAATACCTGGACCAAAACTTGTTAAGAAGAGGTTTAATGACATCTTGAGTGACAAGATTATTATTATTTTTTTAAATCCCTTATTATAATCCCTAACTAGATAAAGTATGGGATATGTATCCACTTAGAAAAAACACACATTGCAAACTAGGAGAGAGAATCAGTGACAGCAAAGCACATCTCAAACATAAACCGTCTCCCTGCCCCCTCGGTCTGCACCAGCCCTCGCCTGAACCGCGTGGTCCTAACTGCCATCCAGACTCTGCTTCACCCCCACTGTCCCTGCGAAACGCTGCTCTTTTTACAGACTCTTGTCCCATGAATCACTGCTCGCACCCGGGGAGCCTGCGTCCACTTGGAGTCTGCCGGCCTCGCCATAATGCCACTGGTCACGAGGGGTCATTGTGAATAGGCCCCAGACAAAACAGCAGCAAAGGACCCAAGCTGTGAGCGCTCCCAAAGAGAGACCGGGGCAGAGTGGTGCTTCTGTGTTTGTTGTAAGAGTGAGCCGGTGTTGGAACACACCACAGTTTTGGGTGTCATAATGTACCGTAATTGCATGTCAGTGATTTATGAAACATTAGGAAGAGACCTTTAAACCCCATACATCACAAACCTTTTAGCCTCATGCAGACCCGATTGAAACATGAGCTCCTGGGACTTAGCCCTAACACCTAGTCCACAGCTGACTTTGAACAAAATCCACTCATCAGTCCTTACACTCTAGGCACTGGTTGAATGCAAGGCTTGGAACAATATATGTCAAATAACTAGTTTTAGACCTAGGTTCCTCATTTTTGGATACAAATTTGTTTGATAAAAACTGACAGAAAAACGGGCCAAAAATTCATACATGGGCTCTAATATATTGCCATTGAGATATATTTAAGAACATAATACGCATTTAAAGTTTTTGTCTGCCCTCTAAACTTCACTTGCACCCAACGGCTCCTAACAAATGTGTCATACAAACAGGACACCGTGAACTTCTTAAGTAGTCGCTTTTTGTACAGTCAGTCTTGAGGAGATAACGTTTTAAATTTGTCTCATACTAAAACGTGTTGCAACGTGTGTCAGTGGAAGAAAGGTGGTTCTCTCATTTCCTTATATTGTATTATGACACAATTACAAGCACAAGAAACAAAACTGAACTAGCTTAAACTATCACAAAACAACTTTGAACTTTGAAAAAAATACAAACTGATATGTTACATGTATTATAATTCATTTCGGCTTAAAAAGAGCACACTCACTGGTTACAACCGCAATAAAGTAAACCAACCAACAAAAGCTCTTATAACAACATTTATAGGGTTTAATATGGATATGATTTCAATTGTCAGCTTGCATCTGCTTATAACTAAAATTGGCTCAATAAAGCATATTATGGCTAATTCATGTTGTTTTTAATTATGATTTTAATAGTTTTGTGGATGTGGCACTGGTCCAATACATTTGTTTGGTGGTGCTTTGGCGGCCCACACGCACAGCCCCTGTATGATGCCAGCTGTTGCCCTCAGAGCCCCGGGTTTATAGGGTCTATCTGCTGCGTTTATGACCAAACCACATCTCCCCAACCGTCCGCACTGCTCTGTACTGCTGCCATAGATTTCTCTTTGTCTCTGGCACAACTTCCTGTCCAATGGCTCCTCCCTTGGCTCCTCGTGGTCCTCCTCCTGCTTTGACTTTTGGAGACAGAGCAAGATGTGGCTAATGTGCAACTGAGAGTGCATTAATGGCAACAGTGTGTGGTGCAAGACGGAAGAGGGGAAGTGAACTACAAGTGTATTTTACAATCACTGGATTCAATTACAGTTGTAAATGACAGTCATAATACAGACAGTTATTAATAAAGTATTGATAGGGGAAGGAATACTTGAGGTTTCAGGGATTGGAACAAATTGGAAAGGACTCAGATGTAAGTCAGAGAAAGATATAAAGAAATAACATTTACACCAAAACATTTACACAATTCCTGATTATTGTTAATGAAATTCCAACTATCTTTTGGTCTTAAAATCACATTTCACGGCCCTTACATACATGCAGCTGCCCCCACTCTCTGGAACTCAGACTCACTTCAGAACTTCAAATCACTGCTCAGAACCTACCTGTTCAAAACTGCATACACATAATTTATCTTTTTTGCGTGTTATTTTTTTTCTTATTTTGTCCTTTTGTAACGCGTCTTTTAGTGTCCAAAAAAGTGTTATATAAGTACTGTGTATTATTATTATTACATATGGTAGAGTCTGCATATACATAAAAAAGAGATTAGTTGCTATTAATTGATGGGTCATTTCTATTTCTACTAAAACAAATATTCGTCTGTTTGAGAACTAATAAACCAATGAGCAAATACATTATCAAGGAACACGTCAAGTAATGTGGATTCATTTGAACTAAACTAGTAATGACAAGAGGGAAATGAAGAGAGGACATCGTTAAATCCCCTGATGACATGAAAAATCTCTCGCGCTAAACCTTTGGTCAGGCCAAACAGGAGGCAGTCCGCGGCAAGCAGATGAAAGCCAGACAAAGTGTCCGTCTTGCTAATGCGAATGTATGTGATGCGGATGGAAATGCCTCCCCACAGGAGTGGCACGTACAGCCACATAAAAAGCAGGAGCACCGCTGTGGGGCTGACGCAACACTATCTCTGTCTCACGTGTTTCTCCCTGCGGCCGCCTGCTGCTGCTGACCTTCGAGATGTTTTCCTCTCTCCTTCCCCGCTCCCTTTATTCCTGCCGGTTTCGCGCACACATGGCCCCCTCTGCAAGTCAGTATTTTGTCATTAAAAGGCATTGCATTTCAAGTTTGGATCAAGCAGATGGGGCTGCGCAAGCACAACTGGCGCTTCACACAGCAGCGGCACAGCACCTTGGCTTAAGTACAAATAGTGCACATGCCTTTGACTAAATATGTCGTCGCAAACACGCTGGGCCATACTGAGTGAGAGGGGATTTTTAGTATTTTTAAGCACTCGAAATGCTGTATGGGTATTTTACTTTTACAATTTTTTGGCCAACCAAAGCGAAAACAAGCCATATCCAACTTCTAGACAACACTTGAGTGTGCAAGATTTGAACTGAGAAACGGCCTTGATTTCATTCAGATGTATGAATAAGTATAATGTGGTAAAAAAGAAATTATTGTGCATTATATCTGTGGTTCTCAACTGGAACAGTATGATCACCACCCAACTTAATTTAGTAAATAAATAATGTAAAAGGACTGTATATTATTGTTTTATAAGCATTGTATAATACTACAAGGCTGAAATTGTGTACAAAGTAACTCCACTGACTCCAGACCCTTGAATCAAAGATATTGAAAAAACTATCAAACTAAAAATACATCGAATAAGTACACTCGTCTTTGAATTATTTATTTATTGACCACAATTTAACCCAGAAAGTCCAACTGAGAAATCATGGGGCATGTTTTAAATTGATTATGACCAGGAAATACCCAATCAAAAACACACTGCAAAAAATGACAAAAAAGAAAATTGATGTCCCATTGGAAAATCTTGCTTTAAAACTTGAATTATATATTCCCTAGCTGAGAACCACAGCATTATACTGTTATGTATTATTAAATTTAAAGATTATAAACCGATCGAGGATGACCAAAATCAATTCACCCTGTCTTGTGTATTTATAAATAAAAATGAGACAACTTAATATGAAGGTACTGGATTTGCATTGCAGGACAGTGGCTGCGACATGGATCCAGTGCAGTGAGAGGTAGAACAGACTTGTAAGTGCTACTGTTAATTACTGCTACTGTAATTAGTAGTTAAACGGTCATGCCTTATCAACAAGCTTAAACAGCAGAAATAGTGGACCATGGGATCCTTTGCATGGTTCATTGAATACCATTGACTAATTTGTAATTTGTTTTCGGCAAGTAAAACATTTGATTAGACTTCTTTCTAATTCTCAGACGGCTCACAGGCCCATAAGGACTGACGCAGCAAATGGTCTTCTTCTTTTACTCTCAATCTGCACCAGGTTACCTACAGGTCAGGGATATCAAAATGTATACAATAATAATTGTACAGTAATAAATAAAATAATGTTTTTTTTATTATTATTGGGAGAAAGGATAAGTATTTGAAAGGCCATTACCACAACAACAATGGGATCCTTAAAGCTGGAGTACATAACTATGAAACCACAAAAATACAACAATGTAATACAATAACTCATTCCTTGCTCTAAACTGTTTCTTCTTTTCTTTTCACATGCATGTATCTTTGGCCTCTGTCACATGTTTGGATCAGCTTCTTTAGTGAAAAAAGAGAACATAAGCCTTTACTTGAAAATGATTTTCTAACAAGGTGCAGACAGCATGTTGTCGTCAAAGTGTATCATAGCTTGAAATGTCTTTAAATTATAGGACCCGTGAGCAGCTGTATTAAATCAAACATATAATATAATTATAATCAACGTTTTGTTACATGACTTGTTATTCAATAATGTAAAAAAGTCCCACAAAAACCCCTCTTACAGTGACTTGCGATATCCCTGTTTGTTTACGTGTTGACCTACTCCACTTGAAAGCAGCATTGGCACCAAAGGCCGATATAGACTGGCTCACAATGGGTATCATATAGTAGTCTCCTTGCTTACATGTTTGCTTGTAGTCTTACAGAGCGCCGGCTGTAACCTGAGTCTGCCAGGATTTGTGGATGGCTGCTTCATGTGGGCACTGTTGTGTGAACTGGAGGTTACCCAATGAAAGACAAGGCTGAACACACCCATCATCCCTATGCCTGCTCCTCTCCTAATCGTCCTCTATGACCAATGATTCACAAAGTTTAGAGGGGAGGAAAAAAATGAAATAATCACAGATAACATCATGGAGTTCAGTGAGTTCATAAAAATGGTGAGCATAATACAATTCTGTCTCAGCGCCATTAAGCATGTCTTTCATTTTCTCTTACACTCAACATTTGCATATTCCTTTGGGTGTTTCACAGCTCCCCCCTCTATTTTTTCCTCCTTCTCTTGTCTTCCGAGCAACAAATGTCAGCTAATTACACCGTAGCTGTTTGGATGAGCTCCACCATTTCCCTGTGCTCTGTTGGGTTTGTTCTCTATAGGCTGCACGGAAAAGTCAGGCAGTTAGCTCGCAGTGCGGGGGCTGAGCTACAAGACTTAAACACACGCCCCTCGAGAATCGATTTCCAGAGAGAAGAGTCATCAATACTTCTCATAAATGATGTGAGAAGCACCTGACGACCATTTTACACCTACTACAACGGTGATCTTAATAAACACATATGATTTTCATGTGAGCAAAGAAAATAACGGACAACAACCAAGACAATCACCCTAATCAGGGAGACCAAAGTCCAAAAGTGATGAGTCTTTCCCAAAACAAATAGATTAAAGTAGCATTTAAACTAATTATGTCTTAAGCACTGGAACACAAATTCATTCATTCATTCATCACTAATCAGGTGGACCACAATCAATAAACACGTTTTCAGCCGCTGAAATAACTAGCCATCACTGATATCTTAAAGCTGGAGTAGATAACGTTGTTCTTGTTTCAATAATACAGGTGTGTTTGTCCCAACAGAATGAGTCTGTTTAGGTAGCATTTTGTGAACCAATGAGATCACCATATGCTGTCTTTATCGTTTTGCATTCTGAGAGCTGATTGGCAAAGTGAGGGCTGGTAGTCTCTCTTTCTGACTGAAAAGGTTGATCTAATGATGTGACAGAGGCTAAAAATACATGTGTTTGAAAGCTAGGGACTCGTTAGATTTTACTACTATGGATTATTTGCGATTTCAAAGTTAGGTACTCCAGCTTTAAGTCAGAATTAATAATGTATTTACAGATACAGTCAGTGAATTAGAAGAGCAGTGAAGTTACCAGGTTGCATTTACTTACAGAAGGCATTTGAGTTTTACATGGAATATGTGGTTGGCATATAAACTATGGCCCCAAGACTGATAAGAACCGTATCAACCCAGGCTAAAACCTGGACCGAACACCTCCTTATCCAGTGAAAAACATTCTTACAAAAGGATGCCATTTGAGCTCAGTAGCAGCACAAGGGCAGCGTGTCAGGCGAGGAGAGAAAAGTGCAAGTCATTGACGCTGTGCACAACAACAAACTGCCACCTTGCCGTGCTTGAAGTGAAGCCTTGAGGACGAAGACCGCTCTAACGGTGAGACCAGAGCCAGGGCGGGAAAAACACAGGGCCACAAAAGCAGACTCAAGACACCGTGGCAAACCATACGCAGGAAGCACCGCAGGCCACACTTAAAGACATTTATAAACCAGAGCTGCGTGCGGGTTAGGTGAAGGTTCCACACAAATATTATGATTCAAACTGGGGGAATTGTAATTAATTGTCTGATTCGGCGAATGAAACTCGAATTTGTAATGTAATCACAACAACTGCTTTTCAAGGGGCTCTTGTTAAATTTAATTGGGGAAGAGAGAAAAACACATACGCACGTGCACTGTCGCTGAACGAATCTCAAAGTAGGCCCCAAAAGCGGAGGAGTCTGCGAGTTTGTTTGCCGCTGTGTGTTTGTGTGAATTTGGGTTGGTTGTACTTACTGTTCGAGATGTCTTCAGCTCTTTGACATCACTGCAGTAACACCTGGACAGAAAACAAAAGAGGAAAGCAGGTTAAAAGTATGTATGCATAAATAGCCAGTTTGTTATACCTTACAGGACACTGAAATACACACAGAAACATGTAAGGGAGACAATAAGGCCGTGAATAATTGATTGTGCCAAAATAATTGATTAATTTAAAGATTATCCTTGCAATTAATCAATTAGTTGTTTGGATCCTGAAAGGTCAGTGAATATAGGATTTGTTTAATACATGAAAAACACAAAGCTTGTTACACACAAGGTTGTTTGATTAAAAATAGTCATTATAGAATTATTATCTCTGTCGTAAAACCTCTTCTAAGCATGTTTGAGTCAAGAAAAAGGTTTAAAAAAATACTAATGGATACCCAAATGTGTTAACTATTTAATTCAGTTAAGTTATACTGTATTGGCCTCAAAATTCTCTGTCTTTTACCCATCTCCAGATGTTGCTCGGCTTGGTCTTTAGTGGAAAGGAAAACCGGAGCACACAGAGGAAATCTACACAGACATGGGGAGAAAATGCAAACTCCACTCTGAAAGGCCCTGTTCTGACCAGGATCCTAACCCAGGCCCTTCTTGATTAGAAGCAAGAGAGCAAACTACTTAATACTTGATGAGTTGTGATTAATTGTAAACCAGCCCTAGTAACAAGCTAAGACAATACCTTTACGGTTATAAAATCACTGGAGAAAATATGAGACTTTGACAAAAAAAATTAATTTCATGCAAATGTGGATACTGAAGATTTTTCCTCTTCTTTCTTCAGATGTTACAATTACATTTCATTGGATACAACTTAAAAGATAGAGATGGAGCTGAGGCATTTGTGGTCCAGACACATCAAACGGCAGTGTACAGTGACGTGTGAGCCACAGCTGTAGCTACAATCACTCGCACCCTCACTTGTTGCAAAACCTGTTTGTGAGAAATGGATCTAGACACTGGAGCTTTGAGTGTGAGCAGATTTTCCCCAAACACAAGACAGTTCTTGTAGAGAACCCAGCCTCAACGCTTTTCTCACGCCCAGCGCTTAAGCATTGTCTTGCTGGGCCCTCATCAAATACAAAACACAAACCGCCATTTGCCTGCTGTTTATTACACTGCAAAAGCAAATGTGCATTACTACTTTAAAATATTCTAATTACCAAAGACATCTGATGATTACACCGTACACAAGGCAATAGATGGAGACGACCTGTGGCAGCATGTTCAAACAGTGTATGTTCAAAAATCCACGTTCATCTACAGAACATCTACAGAACATCATTTTGAATGCTGAAATATACATCCCAAACCAGTAAACCAAGTGTTTTACGCAAGGCAACTCAAACTGCTTAACAAAACAAGAACAGATAATCATATAGAATCAGAGTGCATTAATAATCCACAGCTAAGAGAACTATTTTAACCGAATTTTCACATTTAAGAGTAGAACCCTGACTCATATTTAGTCTGAGTTGGTTTATATGAAACAAACACGTCACAGATATACTTTGATGCAAAGCCATGGAGAGACTTTCTGAGCCAAAGGAAGTGGAAACAATAGCCTTACTTCAATTGTTTTATGTTTTTAAACTACCTTAAAATGTGTGAACCTGTTGCACATCAACAGTTTAAATGTGTCAGTCTGGTCCCAAAACTCTGAAGACTGATTGTTAGTTTAAATTTGTAATTCTATAATTTTCCCTAAACTATATAAAACATATGCAGTTTAGGGTGTAAACAGTCAAACGATTACTCAATTAAAGCAATAATCAATACAATACTCAATTACTAAAATATTTTTCAAACATCCACCAGTTGGTATCAGCCTCGCCTCCCTCTCCCCGACACACAGAGGCAGGGGCTGCTGCCGGCTTACAAACAGAGCTGCACCCAGTGTGGGTGGCTATCTAACAAGGTTCTGTTGACAGTAAACACATCCATCTGGTCAACGGCAACAGAATCAAGTCTGGTGGAAGCTCCAAACGCACAGAGCGCTGATGTTTCGAGCTCACAAGGCACTTTGTACTCCTTGCATGTGCTCCAAAACACGAACGGATATATTGCCTCTTTAAACTTTGAACAAACTCCACTTGTTGCTCATAAACATCTTGAGAATCTTCTTCTAAACAGTTTAAAAAATGTGGATTTCACTTGATCAGATTCTGGACAATGCAACAACAATGTTGTTGCATTTTCAAATTTAAAAAAGAAAATGTCTTGAGTTATCATTAGCAACATGAACATTATGATGAAAGCTTACATCAAACAATGGTTATATGGAGCAATTGAGGGTACGCAGTTCAAATGTCACCTCTGTCCTCTTGTCTGTTTTATATATAGTCTGTGTGCTAAAAAGTGATGAGAGGCCAGAACAACAGCTTGCTCTGCGATTCCCTTTTGATTGCTCAATTTCTAGATTTATTGCCCAATTTTCCTTTGCTGTTGCAGTTTGTAAATCCTTATTGTGGCTCCCTGACAGCTATGGTCAGCTATTACTTAAATATTTCTGTTTTCACTTTAGCTGCCCATCTTGCCCTGGGCTCCATGTTTGAGTTAGATAAATTCATAATTCATTTTACTGCCAGTGCTTAAGTATCTCTAGATGAAATGGTAAAAGAAGGAGCCGATGCTTTATTGCTTCATGTCTGGACAGTCCAGAATCTATCGCACGTCACCAATGGCATTATGGCGTGTTCTATACTGAGCAGGAATCAGCCACATTTTACTGATATTGATAATGATGAGAGCCCTGATCGAAGCGTAATGGCAGATGCACACAAACACTTTGATAACTCCTTCGAGTGTGCAACATGGAGCCAGGTTAGACTGGATTCATCTGCAGATTTTTCATAAAGGCCTATTAGAGCATGATTAAAGGATCTGTGCTCATAAGGTCTCACAGAAATGATTTGCCAGCTACGAGGCAGGTGAATTACATTGGATAAGAAAGCCATGGCTGTCTGCCTTCATTTTCTTCACCACAATCTGCCTATTAGTCTATTAACCCCTTATCACTTCGACATCTTTGCAGTTTCTATCATGAGCTTGGACTTTAAATATTTGTATTTTGTTATTAATGTATCAGGACTCGTGCTGTCACAATACTCAATTTCAATACTAGAAAATATACTCGATACCCAAGACGAGTAGGCTGCACTCCCATGATCCGAGACATTTAAGGACATTTATGAACATGTATGGCCATTGGTCATTTAAATCATTTAAGTTAATTCTGATACTATTGTAACTATTTATTTTTTGTGGTTATTTTGGTATTGTTTAAAATTGCTGAAAAATACTTGAGAATGATCACATTTTGTCCTATTTATGGTGGTTTTACTATTAGTTTTAGTACCAATACGTTCTCAAATTAGTATCTATTTTCAATACTACTGCAGGTACTCAATGCTTTGAGATTTAAATTGTTGACAACTGATGGGGTCTGTTGTCTATTTGTTGCTAAAGAGAGGTTATTTTGTTGCTTGGAATGATCAGTACGAGACATGTACATTATTTAACTACAGATGTGTTGACTGATCATAAAATAAAGTCAGGTTCTCATCTCCACAGATATGACCTGAACTTAGCCTTAGCGTCGTCACTTGCTTGTCTCCAATGAAGATGGAAAGTTTGATGCTATACCGTGGAACATTCCAAGAAAAACAACATTTGGATTGGCTCAAGCCAAAAGCAGACCTTGAGTGATGCACCTTTAAAAGGCTGGATTATTATGGATTACAACTGTCACCCTATGTAGCATTTGTTTTATAGAATCCAAGAGCAACAGTAACATTAAATCTTGTGTGTAAAAAGATGCTATCTTGGGTGCATGTCATTATATCCATCATTACCTGCTTCATTATTCTTTCCTGAAGCTGCAGCACAAACAGAGGAGCAGAAACAGTGGCTGGGTTATAATTAGCCTACCTGCATTAGCCTAAGGCATGCTCACACATGGACAGACTGGGCCTGTGTCTGAGGCCTCAAGAGCATTGTTCAATCTCCCAACACTTCCTCCAAACAAACCTTTTTAGAGCCCAAAGTGATCAGCCTAATCAACCGCATCTGGCAACAAACATATTTTAGGCTTCAGTGTTCAGACAATCAAATGTTTAGTAGTTAAATTAGCAAACAACAAAAATCTTTCTAATAATTTTGGCCTTCTTATATATGATCTTGATATGCATACGTTGGCATGTTGTGTTTTAGAATTTGTGTGTGTGCGCGTGAGTGAGTGTATCTGTGAGAATAGCAATGCTAAAATCAAGTCATTCCAAACTACGCATGCAGCTGTAGCAAACGCAATATGACAGCAGGGATAGTCGGAAATAATTTGGAGACATACTTTAAGATAGAAAAGATCTCCCAAGATTTAACTATATGACAAAACAGAACAAGAGTTACATAACTGGTGGGACTGACTGAGAATAGAGTATTCATGTAGGGATGGGAAGGCGGGATTGTGTGAAATATCCTGATATTGAAGTGGATTAAGTGGATGAAGCTAAAATCAATATCTTTCATGTACAAATTCAAAAAGGTTAATTAATTCCTGATTCAACTCAAAATATAGATATATGGTAAAGACTCATTATATGCTACGTGACTAATGCCAAGCCTTTGTTTGATTATGGTTTACAGTCCAGTTTTATCAAGCTGAGAGACAATTATAAACTTTATGAAAAAAAAAGGTTTGATACATCTCACTTTGCAAGTTTATGGACTTTTGAACTATCTTCTAATTTTCACCTGCATGTCAGGACTGATTCAGGTTTGATTTATTTAAAAAATCCGATCCTAAATTTGGTATCAAAACAGATCTTATCCTCAAGATTGGTAAATCTACAAATACACAGCAGTCAGTCACTGTCACGCATGCTAAGAAAGGAGGGAGCCGAATGTCAGTGTGTATTATTATTCATGTGAACATGTGAGTTTTCTGATTCATGCCGAACCTTTCACTGGTGGACTAACACATCTGAGCACGCTTGAATCCTTGCTTGGATTCTGTAA